GAGGGAGCTCCCCTCTCCCTCAAGCTCTTATGTGTGCGAGAAGTCACCATGGCTGGGATGAAGCCACTCTAGTGTTGTTTGCTAAAAGCAGTCACATCTCATCCTAAACACACAGCCTGCCGGGAGGAAGCCACACGTGGCAGGGCCTTGAGGATTCGTGGGCCAGGCAGCACTGGGTCTGTGGCGGGGAGCAGCCAGGGGGCTTGGTGAGAGCCGTCCTGCTCTCTGGCTGTGGCCGGGTTTTGTTGCAGGTGGGCCTTCCCAGCGTCCCTCTCCTGCAGTGAGAGGGACACCCAGACCTGGAGCTTCCGCCGTGGACGTGCGTGTCTCAGCCACGGGATCAGAGTACTCGGAAGGAACTTTGATGGACAGGGACCCTGGAGATTTTCTGGCCCACGTTTCTTTCAGGCCTCATGTTGGATTATCTTCCGGCCTGACGTCTCCGACCTGCACGTGAGTGGCCGTCAGGTGGGAGGTCCTGGCTGGTGGCTGGAGGACACGTGGACACTCAAAGGCCCACGGCCAGTGCCAGGCTGGCAGGTTTCTGCAGGTGCCAGCTCCGCAGCCGGGGGCTGGGTTCTCACTGGGCATCCTGCGTCCCATGGCCCCGGCTCTCTCACATGTAAGCACCGAGGCAGAAACTTGAGGCTGGAACCGGCACAGCCGCCCTCGGCCCCAGGACGAGCTGCAGGCAAGACCAGAGGCTTCAGCGGGGCCCACCTCTTGGCAAGGGCCTGGCCAGAGGGAAGGACGCCCGTCCAGGAGCCAAGCAGGCAGCACTGTGACGGGGCCAGGGACCAGTGTGAGCAAGGGACTGTGGTTTGGTTTTTTGAGAATGCAAAGTTCACACTCACGAGGACATGATTCCTGGTGTCTGTTCCCTGGACACGCGGGGCAGTCTCGCATCACCAACCTTTTTTGTCTTCTTTTAGGTGGATGGCTTATAGCAAGCTGGCCCCGGCCCTGCTGGCAGGGGGTGACGTCTTGCTTGGTCCTAGGGCCTCCGTGGGGCGGGGCCTGGGCCTGTCTGGAATCCGCCTGTGCTTCCGGCCCTGAGCAGGGGCTGCTGACTAAGGGAGGGGCTCTGGGAACTGCCTCCAACCTCGGGGTGACTCTGGTGGGCCCAGGTTGACAGAGCTGGGTTCCTGACGCAGTGGGGCTCCCCAGCTTGCGGACGACACCCCCAGGCCTCCCGGCCACGACTCCTCTTTTCCGAAGCCGTGATTGTTTTAGTTTTCCCTGACTTAGAGATGAAAGCTGTCCTGGCTGGAACCGAAACTTCATAATGACTCCGTTTCCTCTGCAGGGGTCTTAGCTGGCGTCCTGAAGTCCCCAGGTCGGAGGGCTGTGGTGGGGGTGGGGCTCCAGGTACTGAGTGGGACCTCTGTCCAGCACCCTGCTGTTCTGGGCTGGGGAAGCCTCATCTCCCCACCCTGTCCCAGGGTGCTGTGACGGTCACGTGTTGGGGGCAGTTGGGAGATGGGAATCGGGAAGAAAAGTTTGCATTGACTGCTGCAGGGAATGAGGGTAACGATTCATGGGTTGTGGTTTGGAAGCGGCAAGCCTGATAAATCTGTCCTAACTGGGTTACGGATTGCACAAAGAAGGGTTGATAAAGACTCAGGAGGCCGGGCGCAGTGGCTCACGCCTGTGATCTCAGCACTTTGGGAGGCCAAGGCGAGCAGATCACAAGGTCAAGAGATCGAGACCAGCCTGGGCAACATGGTGAAACCCCGCCTCTAATAAAAATACAAAAATTAGCTGGGCCTGGTGGTGGGTGCTTGTAATCCCGGTACTTTGGGAGGCCAAGGTGAGCAGATCATGTGAGGTCAGGAGTTCAAGACCAGCCCGGACAACATGGTAAAACCTCGTCTCTACTAAAAATACAAAATTTAGCTGGGGCGTGGTGGCGGGCAACTGTGATCCCAGCTACTCTGGGGGCTGAGGCAGGAGAATCACTCGAACCTGGGAGGCGGAGGTTGCAGTGAGCCGAGATCGTGCCACTGCGCTCCAGCCCAGCAACAGAATGAGACTCCAGCTCAAAAAAAAAGAAAAGACTAAAGAGAGTGGAGGGCACCCTGGTGACGTCCATAGTAGACTCTGAAACAGTGGAGCCCCCTACCAGGGCCCGGCCTTCCCCCTGTGCTTGGCCTGTGCACTTTCCTGCCAGGGATCTGGATCTCACATGACACCCAGCAGCCCAGGACACTCTGCCAAACCTGACGGTGTTCCCAAGGCGTAGGGTCTGACGCTGGGTCCTGGGGGATCCATGTGGGGTTGCTGGACGGCTCAGCTGTCTCGGTAACGGCCCCTCCCGAGGAGGGCTGTGTGGACCGAGCCGTCTCTGGGCGGGGCTGCAGCACGTGGAACGAGACGTTACTCAGCAGCTCCGCCCAGGAGGGACCTGTGGACTCAGAACTACCTGTCCGGGTCCTGCTGGGTCCTTGGTGCAGTCGCCGAGACGGGAGACAGACAAGGCAAGGACCCTGCCCACCGTGCCCGGGGGAAATCTGCCCAACCAGCCCCCTCCCATGAGGAACTTATCCAGTTTTAAGAAGAGGAAAATAAAAGCAGCCGGCGTGGTGGCCACGCCTGTAATCCCAGCACTTCGGGAGGCTGAGGCGGGAGGACTGCTTGAGCTCAGGAGTTTGAGACATCCTGGGCAACATGGTGACACCCTGTCTCTACAAACAAACACAAAATATTAGCCAGGCATGGTGGCTTGTGCCTGTGGTCCCAGCTACTCCGGAGGCTGAGGTGGGAGAATCACTGGTGGAGGCTGCAGTGAGCAGAGATCACGCCACTGCACTCCAGCCTGGGTGACGAAGTAAAAGCTTACAGGGCGTGCCCTCCTGACCCCAGCCTCCACCTCTTTGTCTCGGTTTGGACTTGACTGCACTGGACCAGGCCAGGCTCCTCCCCTCCAGGCAGCCCCTGCACAGGTCTCAGTCACCCTCCCTTTACCGATGAGGAAACTGAGGCACAGAGAGGTTCAGCTGCACACTGGTGTGCAAACAGCAGCCCAGCCTTCCAGGGTTGGTCTCAGATGCACTCATGAGGCCCAGGCAGAGCTTCCCACAGGCCTGCAGAGCTCGGAGCAAACTCCAAATGTCTGGGGTTCAAGCCTCAGCAGGTCTCACACAACCAAAAGCATGTTCCTCTAGGTGTCCCACAGGAAGTTTCTTTTGTGCTGGAGAATTTATGGCTGGACAGTCACATCAGAGCCAAGCCAGAAACAGCCTGAGCCGGGCTGGGATTTGGGGAGGCCCTCAGGTTGGGTGTGCCCAGACCCAGGCCGCAGGGCCGGGGTGGGGGGCCGGTGTGGGGGGTGGGGGCAGGGGTCCGGGGGTGGGGGTCCAGGGGTGGGGGCCGGTGTGGGGGGCTGGTGTGGGGGGCTGGGGGTGGGGTGTGATGCAGGCACCAGGCTGGGTTCAATCAAGACCTTGGTTCTTGGCTCCAAAAAATCTCTCCAAGTAGAAGGCGTGTCGCCCGGTAAGTATTTTTATGCAGAAATACGAGAGTTATTCCACCGATGTGGTGTAAAATTGCTTCTATAAACTGAGGCGAAGCCAGACAAGGGGGTGAGGGCTGGGCCCCCCGTGGCCCTGCTGGCCCGAGGCTTTGCTGTGCTGGCCTCCCGTGCAGAGGTGCGGGGTCCCGCTGCCCCGCCCGGGCCCCCCGCACGCTCTCTTCTGTGAAAGACGCCCCAGCCCTGCTGCTCCTCTCACAGCCATTGTTCGGAGGGAGGCTGGTCAGACCCTAGAAGAGTGAGCTCCCTGCAAGCGCAGACCCCTGAGGCTCTGAGGCTCCGGGGCTTCTGTCACTAGCTGGGTGAGGTTTCCCGGGCTGGGGCACAGGCACCAAGGTGGCCCTGCTGGCGGAGGCGCCTCCTCTGGTGGCGAGGGCCATCTCCCTGCAGCTTCCCCCACCGGCTAAGTCTCAGATCTGTGGTTTTAGTCTCGGATCTGGGCTCACCACAGGCTCTCAGATCTGCCCCACGCTCCTTGACCCAGGAACCGGCAGCCTGTGCCCTCCCCAAGCAGCGCCCCAGGCTCAGATCCTCACTGTGGCGGCCGGGGACCTCAGCTGTCAGCTGGGCCCTCTTCAAAGGCCCCCAAACTCAAAGTGCCAGGCATTTGTCCAGTGGGGACCCCTGCACGCGACCCCCGTTTATTGAGCCTTGAGGTGCAGGGCTGTGTCGAGGAGGACCCAGCGGCCAGCAGCACTGCAGGGCCCCCCAGCGCCACCAAGGGTGTCCCCTGACTCCGGCCCGGAGCCGCACCCCTTGAGTTTACAGCAGGCCGAGTTGCACGGCAAGACGGAATGCCACTGGGCATGCTGCTGCAGCGACGAAGCTTCCATTCAACTCCACGAGCAACTCTGCAATGATCCGTGTGAAGCCCAGGCCGCACATTCTACGGAAGCACCGTTCTCACCCGGCCCAGCCTGGGGGGCAGAGTTGGGGGCTGGGGGGCTCTGCTGGAGCACCTGGAGCCTCATCTCCATGAAGAAACTCGAGGCATGGGGAGCAACCCCCGTTTTCCTCCTGCCTGCTCAAGAGAGGCCTGAGCATCTCTGCACGAAGTATGGGAAACCCTGAGCTCGAGGGAGCAGTTGGCGATGTGGCACCCCAGAGCCATGGCTGGCAGCCACTGTGGGGGCTCCCGGGCGGCAGGAGTGGCTGGGGCCGTGTCCAGGATGGCCAAGGACCTCCAGGCCTGGGTGAGTCTGCCCTGAGAGGACCCCATGAGGCTGCAGCCCCTGCCAGGCTCAGGGCGGACGAACAATCAACCTGAGCGTTCTCAGCCGCCTGGGACTGCTTATCTGGGGATGTGGGTTGGCCGGCCCTGCCTCCTTTGTCCCACGAGTGATGACTGACCCCAGGCATGGCTTGCTTCCTTGCCGAGGCCTGCTCCGGCCTGGTTCTGGGCCCCTACGACTCCACGCTCCCTTGACTGCTGGGGCCACCCACCACCAAGAGGTTTGTGAACTCCACTCACCAAGCTGGTCACCGAGGGTGTCCTGGCCATGGAGGGCATCCGAATCCAGCTCCTGGTCTCCCCCGGGCAGGGGCACGTCGGCTTCTGCACCTCCCTTGGCAGCTCTGGGCCCCAGCACCCCAGCTTCAGGGCTGGACACAGGATAGGGGATGCATTCGAACCCACTGCAAAGGAAGGGGAGCGGCTCGGCTCTGCTCGCCGCACACCAAGCTAGCGTGAGTGAGAGCGTGGCCCACGCCCCGGACCCTGGGATGTGCCTAGCCCTGAGGCCAGGGGGCACTACTCAGCCTCTCTGCGGGGGGCTCTCCGGCTGGGGTGGGACCAACGGAGACCCAGAGAGAGAAAGGCCTCGACAGGGAAGAGACTGCAGGTCTCGGCTTGAGGAAGAGCTGCCTGCTGCCCCCGTTATTATTTATGATGATTCCAGCAGCATCGCCTCTCGGGTGTGTTCTGACTTTGACGGTGGGTCCACGTTTCCCCCAAATGCCCGCCCGTCCTTAACTCCGGAGGCGGGCTGGTGGGAGAGGGAGCGTCAGCGCAGCGGCTCAAGTCTGACAGCCCGGCACTGCTAAGTTCCCACTGCGAATGGTACAATTCATGGATTTCCACGTCACGGGGCTTAGAGTGAGGCCTCCTCCTGGAGTCCTGCAGCTCAGGCCTCTGCGTGTGGGTTCGTGAGCACCCTGGCCTGGTCCAGTGTGTTCCCGGGAGGCCTGGTGAGTGTGCGTGGGGAGTGGCACCCATTTCCCTCCTGGCTGCATCAAGAGAGGCCTGAGCATCTCTGCAGCCGACCACCCACCCAGGAGCACCGAGGGCCGGGGTCCATGCCCAGAGGCTTGGGGACCGAGCGCTCGGGGAGACTAGGGCCTCTGACCAGGGGCTCGCTGTCTCAGAAGGCAAGAAGGGCCGTGGCAGAGGTCAGATACTGAAACTCAAGGGGCTCTTTCCTTAAACAGACATGGAGTATTTCCTTTGTCATAACCAGGACTTAGTCCAGGGAAAAAAGAACAAGGAATTAATATGACCTAAATGAACTCAAAACGAACTCATGTGTAGAGTTCTCACTGAAACGCATTCTCGAGGCGCCCAGCTGCCTTCACACAGGATCGTCAGGGAGTGGGAAGCTGGCCTCCGTGCCCAGGCAGACTCCTCTCCCCACAGACACTGGGGGAGTCCAGGCCTGAGACCAGGAGCAAGCCCCAAGAATCCACCTTTGAGTGCCCCAGCAGTCTCTGACCTGGGACAGCTGCAGCCTCTGGACGTAACACACTTTGAGAACGCCTGGAGGCTGGAGGCGGATATGCCTGCAGGAGGTATCACGGGCCAGCGATCACAGCTGATTCCCAGAGTTTTACGAGCGGGTTTTAAAGATGGCTGGCACCATGGCCGGGGCCTATAATCCCGGCATGCTGGGAGGCCAAGGCGGGAGGACCGTTTGAGCCATGGCAGTCAGGGCTGCAGTGAGCCTCGATTGCTCCAGCTTGGGCGACAGAGCGAGGCCCCGTGATGAGAAAAAAGCTTCTTTGGAAAGAGAGGAAGGAAGGAGGGAGGGAGGGAGGGAGGGAGGCAGGGACGTCAGCCAGCCTCACTCAGGAACACAGCGGCATGGCCGCAGCTCTGGCCTCTGTGGCTCTGCCTGGCTCCCCTTCCTCCCAGGCCCCTTGCCCTCTGGGGGTGCCTTCGTCCCCGTCTTCCCTCCACTGCACTGCACGTCTGTGTCTGGCTGGTCCTGGCTGCGCCCAGCCCTGCATCAACCCCGGTGGGTAGGGAGCACGTGGGCAGCAACAGAGCGAGGGGTGGCGGGGGCTCCGGGTGGAGCTTATTCTCATCATTCCTCCTGAAAGCTAAGGCGGGACCCCCTGCCCCTGCCCCCTGCCTGTCCCAGGGCGTCCCCGGCGTCCCCTGTACTCACAATGGGGTCTGGAGGCGTGTCTCTTGGTTGTCTCCGTCCACGTGGAAAAAGCTGACCTCAGAGTAAGCCGGCAGCTGCACGTATCTGACAGCCGCTGAGATCTGCAGGACCCGGCCGCTCTCACCTTCCAGGAGACAGGAGTAGGCCGTGAGCACTCACAGGCACCCCAGAACGGGGTGCAGGGGCGCAGGCTCACCAGGACTCCCCCCGCGGGCAGGGGCTCGGGGCAGGCTTCTGGGATGCCATGTTTATAACAGCAGGGCCACATTTGCTGGCGGCCATGACTGCTGGGCACCCTGGCTTGCCTTCCGTGGCCTTTGCTCCTCTCCTGTGCCCTGCAGAAGTGTCCCGGCCCTGAGATCTCTGGTGCTGGCCACACTCACCCCAATACCTCTGCACCCCTCAGCTCAGGTCCTGGATCACAAATCTCCACTTCTGGGCCTGGGGGAGCCCTGGCTCCACCGCTGCCCTGGCCTGGGGCCAGCACACTATGGGAAGGCGTCTCCGAGCCAGACAGCCTCATGGGTTCACCTCGGGCACACCTAGGCCCTGGGCTGGTCAGGGGTGTGGGGTGGCACTGGCACTCGCAAGCTCCTGGGGCCTCCTTCGTGGTCCTCGTCACCCTGGTGTATATCAGGCTCAACTCTCACCCTGACATGGGGGGATGGGCTCCCCCTTCCACCAAAGTACCCAGCACAGGGCCTGGCACCCAGCCAGTGCCCACTAAATGCCAAGCCATCTGCTCCAGGTGCACGTGCCTGCACTCCATCACTCCTGGGAACCTCAGGCTGCAGTGGCCCACAGAGAACCATGCCCAAGGAGTGGACATCACTGACCCTCTGAGTTGCCAAGCACAGATGCTCTGGGCCCTGCTGGGCAGGTGGAGGTGGTGGAGCTGAGTATTCAGCCACACCCAGAAGACCCCATGTTGGGGGCCGGATAGCAGGGAGGAGTGGCTTGGGCACCGTGGGTGGAGGCAAGATGGCTGTGTCGAGAGGAGCAGGGAGGAAGAGGAAGGAGGCCGGGTGCGGCGGCTCACGCCTATAATCCCAGCACTGTGGGAGGCCGAGGCAGGCAGATCACCTGAGGTCAGGAGTTTGAGACCAGCCTGGCCAACATGGTGAAACCCCATCTCTGCTAAAAATACAAAAATTAGCCAAGTGTGGTAGTGGGTGCCTATAATCATCCCAGCTCCTCAGGAGGCTGAGGCAGGAGAATCGTTTGAACCCCTGAGGCAGAGGCTGCAGTGAGCCGAGACCATGCCACTGCACTCCAACCTGGGCGACAGAGAGAGCCTTTGTCTCAGAAAAAAAGAAAAAGAGGAAGAGGAAGGCGATGAATGGATGGGGGCCCCAGAGGAGATGCCGAGCTTTGGGACAGGCTCCCAAGTTCACAAAGCAATCGGGAAGTGACTGGACTTCAGCGACATTAGCACTCGGACAAAGCAGGGCACAGGCGGGCTCCCACTTGGGGTGACCTCAGAGTGCGGAGCTGCGCCCGACCGCCCAGTTGAAGTATCACACCCTGCAGCCCCAGCACTAGGCGCAGGTCCAGGGCCTGCTCGTGTGCATTCTGAGGTCACGGTCGCCTGGAGGAGAGGTCAACAGGAAGCCAGCTCTCATCTTACGAAGATCTGGCAAAGGACACACGACTGGGAAGGAAAGGACGTCAAATGTCGCGTAAAAACTCCCGCGTAGCCTGCTGGACTTCTGTATGGGGATGGAGCAACTGGGCCTGCGTGACACCCCTGGTTCAAAAAACCAAGAAAGCAGACAGTGTGCAAGGAAACTTGATCGTCAGAATCCCGGACACCTCGGGACGGTGATCCTTGAAAGAAGTAACAAAGGGTGCGGACTCTACAGTGACCCTGGCCGCTGCCTTAAAAGCACGTGCAGGATGGGCTGCAGAGAGGAAACTGAGGCAGAGTCCCATTAAACCCCCTCAGCTGAGAAAAAAAGAGCAGAGACCGCGGGGAACAAGACACACAGTCAGAGTTTTAAACTTCAAAGGGCAGAGCAGCAGAGGAGAGAGAGGACCCGGAGCAGAGGGAGGAGGCTGCAGTATCCAGCAGAGCACGGGGCAGCGCACACAGGAGGACACTCCACGAGGCTGGGGAAGAACCGTCTGAAGAACTAGAGGGACGGGGAGCTGGGGCTCACACAGGACTGGGCATCGCGCCTGTTCTCGGCCGGGCCGGGAAAGCGGAGAAGTCACAGGAAGCCGGGGCAAGCTCTCAGAAGGGTCTTGCGACAGTCATGGGGAGCAATTGGTGTGAGGCAGATGGGACTCCAGCAGCCCTAACAGATCATAAAGGCAAGACCCGAGAGGATTAAAGTGTCTCCAAGTCACCGAACTGTACCCCAGAACAAAGCTCAAGAATATTTACAGGAATACAACAATATCCAACACCCAACAAGGTAAAATTTACGATGTCTGGCACCCAATCAAAGATTACGAGGCATGCAAAGAATGCAGGAAAGTGTGGCCCGTGACGAGGAGAAAAATCCATCGACAGAAAGTGACCCAGGACTGACTCTGATGTTAGAATCAGCAGTAAAGGACATTTAAACATTCCTATTATAACTGTGTTCCATGTTCAAAAGTTAAACAGAGACACAGAACATATAAAAAAGAACAAAGAGCCGGGCGAGGTGGCTCACGCGTGTGGTCCCAGCACTTTGGGAGGCCAAGGCGGGCAGATCACTTAAGGTGAGGAGTTCAAGACCAGCCTGACCAATATGGCGAAACCGCATCTCTACTAAACATACGAAAAATTAGCTGGGCGTGGTGGTGTGTGTCTGTCATCCCAGCTACTTAGGAGGCTGAGGCAGGAGAATCACTTGAACCTGAGAGGTGGAGGTTGCAGTGAGCCGAGATGGTGCCATTGCATTCCAGCCTGGGCAACAGAGCAAGGCTCTGTCTCAATAAATAAATAACTAAATAAATAAGAAACAAGAACAGAGTCAAACTTCTGGAGATGAAAACTAAAATACATGAGATAAGAAATATGTTGGATGAGGCCGGGCGCGGTGGCTCATGCCTATAATCCCAGCACTTTGGGAGGCTGAGGCGGGTGGATCACGAGGTCAAGAGATCGAGACCATCCTGGTCAACATGGTGAAACCCTGTCTCACAAAAATTAGCTGGGCATGGTGGCGCACACCTGTAGTCCCAGCTACTCAGGAGGCTGAGGCAGGAGAATTGCCTGAACCCGGGAAGCGGAGGTTGCAGGGAGCCGAGATGGTGCCATTGCACTCCAGCCTGGGTAATAAAGAGTGAAACTCCATTTCAAAGAAAAAAAAAAGAAAGAAAGAAAGGAAGAAAGAAAGAAATACGTTGGATGTGATTCATAGCAGGTTAAACATTGCAGAAGAAAAGATTTATGAACCTGGAAATGCGGCTGACCCTGGGCCAACATAGGGATTAGGGCCGCTGACCCTCCCATAGTTGAAAATCCATGTGTCAGTTCTGACTCCCGCAAAGTTTAACTGCTATAGCATACTGTTGACCAGAAGCCTTGTTGAGAACAGAAACTGAGAACCCATATTTTGTATGTTCTATGTATTGAATGCTGTATTCTTACAATAAAGTAAGCTACAAGAAAGGCAGTGTCATTAAGAGAATCATAGTAAAAAAAAAAAAAAATACATGGCCAGGCGGGCACGGTGGTTCACACCTGCAATCCCAGCACTCTGGGAGGCTGAGGCTGGCAGATCACAAGGTCAGGAGTTTAAGACCAGCCTGGCCAATATGGTGAAATCCCATCTCTACTAAAAATACAAAAATTGGCCAGGTGCAGTGGCTCACTCCTGTAATCCCAGCACTTTGGGGGACCAAGGTGGGCAGATCACCTGAAGTCAGGTGCTCAAGACCAGCCTGACCAACACAAAAAAACCCCGTCTCTACTAAAAATAAGAAACTAGCTGGGCATGGTGGCACATACCTGTAATCTCAACTACTCGGAAGGCTGAGGCAGGAGAATCGCTTGAACCTGGGAGGTGGAGGTTTCGGTGAGCCGAGATCATGCCATTGCACTCCAGCCTGGGCAACAAGATCAAAACGCCACCTCAAAAAATAAATTAGCTTGGTGTAGTGGGGCGCACCTGTCATCCCAGCTACTCGGGAGGCTGAGGCAGAAGAACTGCTTGAGCCTGGGAGGCGGAGGTTGCAGTGAGGCGAGACTGCACTACTGCACTCCAGCCTGGGCGACAGAGTGAGACTGTCTTAAAAAAAAAAAAAAAAAAAAAAAAAAGCCCATTTCCTATTCATTAAGCGGAACCGGATTATCATGAAGATATTCATCCTTGTTACCTTCACACCGGAGACTGAGGAGGAGGAGGAAGAAGAGGGGTTGCTCTGTCGGGGTGGCCAAGGCAGAGGAAAACCGTGTATGAGTGAATCGCGCAGTTCAATCCTGTGTCGTTCAAGGTCAACTGTACAGCTATAGAAGGCATCCCAAACAAACCGTGGAGGAACAAAAGAGTAAAAAAGAAAAAAAAACAAGAAGGAAGGAAGGAAGGAAGAAAAGAAGGGAACCAGTGAACAGAGGAACGACCTCAAGTAGCCTAATTGTGGGTAACACATGGGAGAGGCTGTGCCAGAAAAATGACTGGACGAAATAATGGTTGAAAATTTTCCAAATTTAATGAAAATACCTGAGGTCAGGAGTTTGAGACCAGCCTGGCCAACATGGTGAAACCTTGTCCCTACCAAAAATACAAAAATTAGCCAGGAGTGGTGGCGGGGACCTGTAGTCCCAGCTACTTGGGAGGCTGAGACAAAAGAATCACTTGAACCCTGGAGGCAGAGGTTACAAGGAGCCAAGATCGTGCCACCGCACTCCAGCCTGGGCAACAAAGTGAGACTCTGTCTCAAAAAAAAAAAAAAAAAAAAAAAAAGAAAGAAAGAAAAAAGAAAAAAGAAAAAAGAAAAAAGAAAGATACAGCAGGTTCTATGTTCTGTCTGGCAAAATTATCTATAAAAAAATGAAACTTTTGGGAGGCTGAGGTGGGAGGACCACCTGAAGTCAGGAGTTTGAGACCAGCCTGACCAACATGGTGAAACCCCGTCTTTACTAAAAATACAAAAAAAAAAAAAATACGTGTGGTGGTGGGCACCTGTAAT